AGGAAGTAGAGCATCCTCACCATTTTTATCCCAATGAGCGCAAAACTTCACAGAAGAACGACGGTGGGTCTGTTGCATTTGAAAGCGTCGAGCAACCACAGTATCAATCTCAGTTACATATCTTCATGCCATATTCGGTTAAGAAAAATTTGGACTATCGTATGGCCTTAGAGGTAGGTCTGGTCCTAGAAACCACAGTGCCCTAAGAACTGAACGCTGCGTCAAGACTAGCTCCTGTCAGTCACTCTCTCTATAGTCTGAAATCGACAAGCTGATGCTTTTCGCAAGAAACCAGTCATGGGGTGCTCATAGAGCTGACCCTTCGAAACTCATTGCGACTGTCAGATCTACCTTCGCTGTCTAAACTTGCTAACGTTTAGTTACTACACAACACTTACTACCTGCAGGAACGTGTACTCGCTGTTTTCGCCGTATTTCAATTTCAATACAGCACAGCTATTTGAATGTTGACTTGAATGAAATCTGCGAACACAGTGGGTCTACTCGTGATTGAAAGTGGTTCGTGATGAAATGTGAACATAACAAAACAAAAGAGCAGACAAAAAAAGCGATGGACCCCACGAATAGTGTTGATCTGTATTTGGGCGATTTTCGCATGCTCACATTAGAGCTGACACTTTACACTTGAAGGTTTAGTCATTCTTTTCTCTTCTTCGTTGATTCTGTTCGCCACTCCCCATTTTTTCCCCGTTCCCTTCCGGGTCATTCCCCAGGGGAATGACGTCATCGCGATGAGTCACGCCCTCGCTCAGCTCAGCCGCCCTTTCGCGCATTGGGTGAGGGCTGGCCGACGGTTAGGCGCTGCACTGAGTCACACCGTCAGGGCGCGTGCGATCGATCGCCGTGTGCTCAGCTGGCAGTACCCCCGCCCACTGCCCTGGGCGGACTGACCGGCCGGACAGGTCACCCACAGGACTCATGGGCTCACTCTGCCATATTCTGTGTTCCTTATTCAAAAGTTCCAATTTTCCGCCATATATCTGCTATGTTTACGTGGGACCCATGCGTCTCTTTCCCTTTCTCCCCCTGATCGAGGTCCTTTCGCTTGTGTTTTTCATGTCGTGCTTTTTTCTTTCTCATATTTCGCAATGGACTGTGTCATCAGTTCATTTATTGATTATGGAATAGCTTTGATATTGATTTTGTGATGGAGTGTTTCTTCTCGAAATGCATGCAATCGCTGGTGATTAGTGTTATTTCCTAGCGCTATATAGTGGTGCGACCTGCAGCCTATGCATTCTATGCTGTTTCGATCCATCGAATACCGACCGACGTTTCGAGCAGAGACTTGATTCGTTGGGAGGAAGTACTTATAGTCCGGGATGCGATCGATGATAGTCTTATTCGGGAAAATTCTCTCACTTTCCGATCGTTGTGCCTCGGTAAAATCGTCTTTGCGCGCACCGTTTTTTCTATGGCGTCGGTGTTCGTCGACCTTCTCTGAGACGTATGTTTCTCGTACGTTCAATACGCTGCTATTTCTTCTCGTCGAATCGTTCTGTTTTTCTTAATTTAATGGTAAACGGAGACAATTACCAGTTGGTTTTAACTTGATTGAAGTAGTTTTGATGTTTATGAGGATCCGTTACCGTCCTGATGTCAACTTACTGGCATGGTGCAAATCTCTGATCCGCAAAGGCGACGACTGCTTGTGGTGGTGACGACCTGGGGCAGACTGGCTAGGCTGGCGTGAAGACACCAGGGAACCACAATGGCGAAACCATCAAAATTCCGAAAAGTGGAAATTATGCTGGGGCCCGCACAACCAGTGTAGATGGGCCATCGAAGTATCCAGTTCTGATGTTTGTAACTCTAAGCGCATGGATTCTCAGATGTGAGCAAAACTTACAGCCTCACTTGGGCTTCGAACCCACGGTTACCCTTTTCTGGGCTCAGATTCTGTATCGAGCAGAGACTTGATTCGTTGGGAGGAAGTACTTATAGTCCGGGAATTGACATATTCATCCATGTTTCACAGAGTACCTTGCCATGGAATAAGAATAAGTGGTGAATGAAGATTAAGATATGGTGTAATTGTAGTGTTTTTTAACCAAAATGAAGAGGTGTCGATTAATATTGGTGGTTTTTACACAACTCATTTAACTTCGAAGCTTTAACTGTATCCATCAATTTTAGAAGTTTTTTGGTCAAATTAAGTATGATTATTAATCCATACCAGGTCTTCATCATCCTCCATTGATAGCTTGAATAATCGCAAGAATCGTCGTTTTGAAGAATCCAAGTTCCAAGGCAACAAACACCCATCTGGTCGAAAATCACCGATAGCTGCTTGAAGTGATGAGTTGGGAACGTCCCACCACGACTATCCAGGGGTTTTGGGATTCGAAGGAAAGCCACACTCGACCAGCATTTAACATGCCAGTGAAGAAGGAAAAACATCTATTTTTAAGTAGTTGCGGAACCCTTTTTACTAGTGATGGTCACAAGGTTAAAAAACGATAAAGCTGTCGGCGTTGATCAATCCATCAGGGATGCACCATGCATTCGACTTCGTTAAGTATCGTTGGAGGTGATTCAACGCATATCTAGCCTTTACAATCACTGGAGGTGGCCTACCGATGTATCGAACCAGTGCTGCTATCCTCTCAGACAAGCCTGGTACCAATTTGCCTACCCCGGAGGGTTGGGGAAGGCTTGATAGGTCATGGGCGTGGGGTTCGATTCCACGTGTGCGTCGCAATAGCGCCTCCAACCACTGCGCCACACGAGCCCTTTTATGGTTACAAGACAATAGAATAAATGCCCAAAGTGGCAGAGACAAGCACGAGGTTTGGTGGTAGTCTAAATGAGCAAATATTGGAAAGTCGTGGAATGAAACATTTGTTAATAAATAAACTGATGTTTTCTTTTTGAGCAGATAGTTAGTACAAAGTTGATTCAACAAAGGCTTGGACGATTTCACCTTCTTCAGGGTTGGAAAGTGGTGAAATTGATGCACGGCCCACTTAGCTACGTACTTTCATAATCTCAGCCGAAGAAAACTTGTGTCATGTGTTCGTTTCTACGGTTTAGTCAATCGCCTAAACCGTTAAGTGCAGGACTCGCTTCCTGAAGTTCAGTTACCACACCTCCCACTCTTTCGTTTCTGCACTGATCACTAACGCATGCACACTATTGAACAACGGACGGCTGGGTGTCGAACGACTTGCTCGACTGGTTTGAGGTTTTTATAATCGAAGTGAAAATTATTATCGTAAGGACGTGATTGATGTCGTGTTTGCAGGCTTTTTTGCTCCAAAAACTAAGAGGGCTTCGATTTGTACTTCCATCGTCGTTCTACTAGACGAAACGTCGTCTTCTGTTCATTGAAACCGCTACAAGCAAGTGGTTCTAGAATGCGTGGAAATTTAGTACTTTTATTTCCTTAGGTACTTAAATTATGTGCTTGTCAGAATCCGAAGAAACCAGGATTTTCGATTTTTTTGGACGTATGGTTCTTTGACATAGCCATTTTAGTGATGTAGTAATCATGAATAATAGTTTAAAAATATATAGAGTTTCTTGTTTGGAGTTCAGTGGTTCGGGATGTGGTGCAGCAATGAGCCCATGTGGTCTGATCCCCCCTCCCTTGCCAATCAGGTCTCCCACACTCTTCGAATTCGGCATATTGCTATCAAATGTCGTCAAGAATTTACGCTGTCTTCATATTTCTATCGTTTTCACACCTATCCCGGTCAGGTTGACAGCTTCTACAAAATCGTGGTTAAGTAGGAGGAAATAATGTGGCCATGTGAAATCGATTTTTTCATGTTTGGCTAGATGGATGACAAACATTGGCATGTTGGTGAATTTTACTTCCTATGTGGATACCACAAGGTGAGTTGAGCGCGGAATTTGAGAGTTCGAGAATGGGGACGATTCATCGTGGCCTTGCGTTCGCATCTACTCATGCTCATGTCGAATCTCAGTCGTAGTTGATCGGCTTACTAACGAATCCGTCCACTACGCTATCTCATCGCCTTCCAACATGGTAGGGGACCAACGATGACGTCAGCATCTCCGTTCGGGATCAGTTCCAGTATTTTATGGACGAGCCGGCCTCTTCGAATTCTTTTCGTCGTCGTCGAATCGATAGCCGTTCGGCACTTTACTGTTAACATTTCCTTGTTGGCGACAGGTTCACCAGATACGTTTTTTGTTCACAGGCTTTTTTCAGCTTAAGGATATAGACATGGATATTTGGAAGCGGTTTCAGCCATATTTCTTATTTTTCCAGTCGTATATCTCTTACTTTCGTCTAGTCGCAGACGTGCTCCTGAAGTATTGACATTTTTCTTGTAAATTTTACCTTTTGTATCTCACTAGATACTTAATTAATGACAAAAATACAGTGGCACATTCTATAAAAATACAGTCATACATCATTGGTTTACGAAATGTTTAAATATGTAGGGCAGTGGTCGTAGACGTCCTGCAATACAAATAGGATCGAATCCCGCCTCCAAAGCTCATCAGGCCTTCCATCCCTCCATGGTCGGCAAATTGGTACCAGACCTCTCTGGAAGGATAGCAGCACTGGTTCGATACATCGGCAGGTCACCGCGAGTCATTGTAAAGGCTAGAGATGCAAGCAATCACCTCTAATGATCCGTAGTGAAGTCGAATGCATGGCGCATCCCTTAAGGATTAATCAACATCGGGAGCTTTCTCCTTTTTTAGCTTTATTCATTTGCAACAATGCGCTTGTTCGATCATATGTCTTGCATTGTGCTTAATGTCTTTTAGGGATAAACACAAAACTTTCGGGCTGATGTCATTCTACTGAGAAAGCCTAGTCCACTGCTTGCATACATATAAGATTTCCGTTGATTATATCTTGTTTTGGACATAGCTTGTGGCATTGTACTCCATCATGGAGATCTGTAAACTCGAAAATGTTTGCTTAACATGTCTGCGTAGAAATACATTCATCATATTTTCTTGCAGAAGAGGTCGGGTGGAGGAAAAAACCAAGGAGCATGTTCAGTTGGCTCGGTGGTGATTCTTCGAAGAAGAAAAATAAAGATGTGAGTTTTGATGTTGTTCCTGTTTACTTATTTGTTATAACTCAGAACGCATTTATTTAAACGTGCCAGTACTTAACACTCCTCCCAACAGTTTACCGCCTCATCGTGGCTGGGAAGTGTTCTAAGGTTTCGGGCTGTAATATACAGCAGGAGGATCCGTCGTTTCCATCAGGAGACCCAGCTAAGTAAACCAGTACTAGGATTCACCATCGCCCTGATATCAAACTAGCCGCATGGTGGCAAATTTCGCTCTGATCCGCAAAGGCGGCGGCTGCCTACGGACTTGGGGCAGACCGGCCAGGCTGACCTCGAGACTCCAGGGAAACAATGGCTAAGCCAGCAAAACTCCTAAAAATGGGGAATGTGGTGTGGACCGCGCAACCAATGAGGACAGGCCGTCCAAATATCAAGTAGGAACACTTGGCTACCTATACTCCGTGATTTTTGCAGGTATTGGATTCCGTTAGCGAAGGTCTGCGAAAGATCTATAAGCAGAAACTCTATCCATTGGAGGAGTATTACAAGTTCCATGAATTCCACTCTCCTGCTCTCGGCTAGTTTATTTCTGTTGTGCAGTCATAAGTGCTTCTTTCTGACGTTATCTTGCAATGGTTTGGCTCCTTATTTCTCGTTGTTTTCACTTAACGAATTTCAGATGACCCTGATTTTGATGCTAAACCAATGATTCTTTTGGTAGGACAGTACTCGACAGGGAAAACCACGTTCATTAGATACCTCCTCGAAGAAGTATTTTGTTGTTGCACACTTATTCCCTCGTTCTTATTGCGACTTTTCGTATTGTTGTTTGATTTAGGACTTTCCTGGTATTCGCATTGGTCCTGAACCAACCACAGATAGGTTCATTGCAGTGATGCATGGTGATGAGGAAGGAGTTGTACCTGGAAATGCGCTCGTTGTCGATGCAAAGAAACAGTTCAGAGCGTTGAGCGGGTATGTTCGTTCCAAGTTTGCTGTCTTCAAATGTTCCTCACTCAACAGTTCCACAGATCTACTGTATTTCTTCATATCAGTCTGTTTGTTGGTCTAATTAAATTTACAGAATGGTCTAATGTGAAGCTATCTCTGACAGGTAAAAAGTGTGATTATTGTTGCTCTTATTACTAATACTATTATTATTGTTTACTTTTCACAACCATTACTATTATTGTTATTCTCAGCATTATTATTACTGTTACTGTTACCACTTTTACCTTGATTGTTGGAAATCACTTGCTTGGATAACTGGATGTCCTGTCATCACTGGTTGTGCGAGCCACAGTACATTCTCCATTTTTCGGAGCTTTGTTGGCTTAGCCACCGTTTCCCTGGAGTCACGAGGTTAGCCTGGCCGAAGTTGCCCCTAGTCGTCACCACCGCAAGTAGGCGCCGCCCTAGCGGATCAGTGGGGGATTGGCCACCATACGAATAGTCAGTTATTAGGACGGTGGTGGATCCTGGTATTGGTTTACTGTTGGCTGGACTTCCTAGTGGAAACGTCGAACTCCGCTTCAGCTTAGGAGTCACTGCTGGGAGATAAATTTCTTCGTGGTGCATCGCAACCCAACACCCAGGAACACCTGACAAAACTTGCTGCAAATTTGTTGCGGTAATATTGGTGTGGCATTAAGAATTTAATTCTCGGATATCTGTTGTGTCTAGAAAGAATACATCAGTTAGAACTAGATTCCTCAAATAGGCAAATCTTAAAAGTAGTTTGATATCTTATATATGTATAAGTAGTGGTTTCAGCGTTGGTATTAAATAATTTGGTTTTCAATTGTAATAGTAGATTGGATGAAAGTAAGACTTTTGGAAATATAGCTATACTAAAATGTGGTCTTTTTATAAGTTTGTTCTAGGAACATTTTGGATATATCCTAAGTGTTATATATAGTGTTGCTAACTGGAGAAGGAATTTTCGTTTTTTCTATATAAAGCATTTCGGGTGGGGATATCGCAGTCGTTAGTGATGCCGTCGATTAGGATGCAAAGGCGCTAGTTCGATCTCCGGCCAACGCTCTCCTCTAATGCACGTGGGAACGCCTTCGCCCGGCTATCTCCAAAATTGCAAGGAGGATTTACTCCACATGCAATCTGCGACATTTATAAGGAAGATTAAATCCTCAAGCAGTAGATGAAACAACGCGTGAAATGTCCGAAGGCCACTATGGACGACGAAGGCAAGGGAAACGAATCGCGAAAATTGCTGGCATCCGCACGGTAGATGTGGTGACGGATCCTGTAATAAAAAAAATGTAGTGATATTTAAAATATCTATGTATCTCTTATCAGGTGATTTTCGATCATCTGGATTGTAACCACCGATAAAATGTTTCTGTATTGTGCGGCTTCTGAAATTATTTTAGAGATTTGTTTCAGATTTGGCAACGCATTCTTAAACCGTTTTCAATGTTCAACGTTGAACAATCAAGTACTTGAAAGTGTGACCATAGTGGATACGCCTGGTATTCTTTCTGGAGAAAAACAACGGTGAGCGGTGCTGTTCAAATCATTGGCCTAAAAATTTAAACTGTTTAGTCGTCTGGTAAGAGAACTGTTATGTTTTCTCAATTAATATTTTCTAGTTTCAGTAGTCTATTTCAAAACAGTTCATGTGATGGGTTCATTTATCGCTAAACAACGTTCTGCCTGATACTCTGTGTCGAGTAGTTGTGAACAGCTCCAACTTGCTGGACATTAATCCAGATTCATTATTGTTATCAGGCTTTCTTCATTGTGGGCCATCGTTTCCAATGCATAACGGACGGTGCTGCTTTAGTTTTTAATATTTGGCCCATGGTTTCTTCGGTGACTGGAGTAGTGGAAAAATTACGAACTTGAAAGTGCTATAGCAGAGGATTTGTCCTGTCGATCTAGGTGCGCATTTGATTTTAGATCTGTTTACAGCGCCAACTCATGAAAAAGTAACAGAAAAATTTCTATTTTTCAAACTGTTAGATTAAAGATGGGACTCATAAGTATCAGTACATATTGGTGTGCACCGAAGTGCCTGTTGTACAAGATTCCGAGCGTCCAATCGCTTCGGAATTCGAACTACGACACCTGATAACAAGCGGAAGAAAATACTGGTAGGCAAGGATTTGCAAATTTTTATGGGTTTATCTCAACAAGATCACAAAGTCCTCCATGAAGTGTTTGCCTGAAGTCAGACAGCGCAGTTATTTGTGGCTCAATGTGGTTTTATAGAACGCACATCGTCCTCTGTATGTGATGCTCCATAAAGTGGCAAATTTACTTGAAGGTTGTACCTCATTTTACTGTTTCTACCTATCCACAGTGTATCTATGTATGTTCACTAGAATTAGGATTGGTGATACGTTAGGTGTAAACTATTCTTTGTGAAATACAACCACAATGATGCTGAGATATTTTATAAACTCGGGACCACAGGTGTCTGTTGTGGGGAACGAACGCGCTATTACCCTTTACGGGAGTTAACGCGTTCACCACCACACCATGCGGGTCGTTCGTTTCTCCTGTCAGCTAGTTTTCTATCTACCGATGCCATCAGCAATCGTTAATCGTCAACGGAAAGTGTCTTTGGTCTCGGTATTCTTTGTGAGTTCATTGCACCGAAGTTGCTTTTTAATCCATGATAATACTATCGTGGGGACATCGAGCTGTTATTCTCATCCCTAACAAACTAAGTTTCTTGTAGAGTTTCTTGTATCTAAGGCCTTCACACTCATTTAATACTGAATGACCATCATGATGTTGAGATATTTGCAAAAATCCGGACCATTGCTGTTTGCGGTAGAGGACTAACGCGCTATTACCTTTTCTGGTGGCTAACGCGTCACCACCACACCATGTGGGCTCTTCGTTGCCACTGTCTCAGCCGTGTTATAGGCAGTAAATAAAAAGTACTACATTGTGATTAACACTGCACATTTTGTTTGATGTTTTCTTCTACAACGATCACTAATATTTAGTATCGACCGCGGTTACGACTTTACTGGAGTTTTGGAATGGTTCGCTGAACGTGTAGATCGTATTATTCTTCTCTTCGATGCGCATAAACTTGATATTTCCGATGAATTCAAGCGATGTATCGAAGCGCTAAGTGGTATGTTTAGCTTAGTTTCTTGTCGTGAGAGTCTCTTCCTTAGTTTTCTCTTTTATGTTAAGGTCGTTGATGGTTACTAGTAAAAAAATGGTCAAAAAAAAAGGTCGCGGTCAAAAATGAAGCAGGGTGTCTCTTCGGAAGTGTTTTATGTCGAGACCTCACACTACCAAGGCAGAACCTAACAAATCGGTTTCGTAATTATGCGTTTCGTATGCAGCTGAAAATTTGGATGACGATCACTTATGGGCACAGATAATATCGAATTTTAGTCGCTACAGAAGTAGTGTCCTCCCAACGGCTTACCGCCTCATCGTGGCTGAGAGGTGTTCCTGAGTGTCGGACCGCGATCTACATCGGCGGATTCATCCCCTGGCAGGGTCTCCCAATCTGAGGAGTTCGGCGTTTTCATCAGGAATCCTAGCTAAGAGTAAGCCAATACCAGGATCCACCACCGTCTTGGTATCAAAGTCGCGTGGTGGCAAATCTCCCTCCGATCCACAAGTGGTGCGACTGCTTGCCGTGGTGACGACCTGGGGCAGACTTTGGCCAAATTGCCCTCGGGACTCCAGGGAACCACAATGACTTATCCAATAAATCTCCGAAAAATGGAGATTATGCTGAGGTCCGCACAACCAGCGAGAGTGGGCCATTCAAGTATCAAGTATCAAGTATCAAGTAAGCACAGGAATAGTGTAATAGTGGATCGTTCTCTTTTTTCAGAGAGCTTTTTCTAGATCCACTTAAATTTTTCATCTCAGCACTGTTAGTGTAAGAATTACTAAAAACTAGGATACTAAAAACTAGTAGAGGACACTTGTTGTAGCTGAATCATTAACAGTTTTCCATGAGTTGATACAGACTTTTCGTTTCAGCCATGGCCATGTAAACTTGGACACTTGGGTACATGGATGACCTGTACTCACTGCTTGTGCCCGCCACACCACAATTTCTATTTCTCGAAGTCTTGATAGCCTAGCCACTGTGGTCCCCTGTCCCGAGGTCAGCCAGGCCAAAGTCTGCTCCAGCTCGTCACCACCACAGGCAGTCGCCACCTTTGTGGATAAGAGAGAGATTTGTCATTACGCGACTAGTTTGATATCAAGGCGGTGGTGGATCCTGGCATTGGTTTACTCTTAGCTTAGCTTCCTAATGAAAACGCTGGATTCCCAGCTCGGGAGACCCTGCTGGAGAGAATCTTCTAGCTGCACATCTCATCGCGCCACGACGACGCGGTAAACCGTTGGGAGGCCACTTAAACAGCTTGGTCAATTCCACTTTTGTGAATAGATGCTAAATGCAAAAGAGTCGCAAAATGGCATGTCTCAGATGCACTAGTTGCCAATAGAAGTTCAATTCAGTGTAATCATATGTGCTCGCAGCTTTTGACTTTCTCAATGTTATTTATGTTTTACCTCTAAAGAGATCCTTTTAACTTGGATTATCTGCCGTTCGGATTACAATTACCTGAGAAATTCCGAAACATTTTTTTAGGAAATGAAGATAAGATAAGAATTGTTTTGAATAAATCTGATATGGTGGATCACCAGCAGTTAATGCGTGTTTATGGAGCTTTAATGTGGTCCTTAGGAAAGGTTAGTTCGTAAATTCAATTTAGCTTTGAGAGGTCAGCTTATCACTGTTTCTGTATGAGCGTAATATACTTTCGATATAGTCTTTATTCGTTGATTAGTAGTATTTAGCTCATAGACATTACTATATTTAGGTATTCAAGACACCTGAGGTCTCTCGTGTTTACATTGGGACATTCTGGGATCACCCTCTTCATTATGACATAAATAGGTCGGTATTGTTTGTTGTTTGGATCTTTTTTACTTATGTTTTATCTTTTTATTAGGAGGACACGTAACATAAAGGCAAGTAATCTCTTGGTTCATATAATGCGTAGCGCAGTGGTGGAAGGCGCCCTGCAATACACATGGGATCGATCTCCGGGCCCATGGCTCACCAAGTCTTCCAATCCTTCGTGGTCAGAAATTTGTATCAGATTTGTCTGGGATGATGGCAACACTGGCTCGATACATCGGTGGACCATCGCGAGTCGTTGTGAAGGCCAGACGTGCACTCAATCACCTCCAAAGATGCTTAGTGAAGTCGAATGCATGGTGCCTCCGTTAGGGATTGATCAACGCCGAGAGCTTTATCTTTTTTTATCGTGCCTATATAATAGTTGCTTCATTCTCGTTCTCATCGACCAAAAGCTTTCGTTTTTCCTGCTTAGCGAGTTAGTGTAGGACTTATTAATGAAAGTAGGACATTGGTTTTTTCATGAAGTGTACCTGAGTTTCCTGAAATATTGCTAAAATATATAAGCAAAATTTGCTTCGATACGTCCAGGTTGTGTAACGAATGGGATGCGGTAGCGCATTTTCATGTGTAGGACCAACAACGTTTTCCTTTATCTCTTGGTGATATATTCAGGCGTCTTTTCCAAGATGAACAACATGACCTATTCCAAGACCTGCAGGCCCTTCCGCGAAATGCTGCCCTTCGCAAGCTCAATGACTTGATCAAACGAGCGCGTTTAGCGAAGGTATTAAGTGTTCAAGTTCATTATTTTTACAATCATGCACTTGTTTTTCTGCCATATTCACTTAATATCGCTACAGGTTCATGCTTTCATAATTTCTGAGTTACGCAAGCAAATGCCAAGTATGATTGGAAAGGAAAAGAAGAAAAAGGAACTTATCCAAAATCTCGATAAGATTTTCGAACAGATTCAGGTACATTGGCATACCGTTGGTCTTTAAGATATTCCTTGTTTTTCCGTTATGTAAGTTTGAATATTTCCTTAATTTCAGCGTGAGCACAACATATCTCCAGGAGATTTTCCTGATGTAAACAAAATGCGTGAAAAGCTGCAGAACCACGATTTTACCCGATTCAATCCTCTGAAACCAAAATTGCTGGAAGTTGTTGACGGCATGCTTGCAAGTGATATCGGTGAGAAATTCCTAATAAAAGCAAATGATATGTTGAATTGTTGTAAAGGCTTATATTTAATTCTTGTGCAATCTTTCTTCTGTCCCATCCGTTGAGTGCTAAATATCATTTCGATTACAGAAAGTTTATAACCTTTGAAAATAAACAACTTCTTCATTGAACACTGTTTCTAGCCCGCCTCATGGCTCAAATTCCAAAGGAGGAAGCTCAGATGACTACCTCTGTAGTTACAAATGGCCATATTGCGGAGCAACCAACAGTGAAAGGTGGTGCTTTCAGTCAGGCTCAGGAGGCCGAAACTCCATTCGGGTTTGGACGAGTAAGTCTACTTTTAATCCTTTATATTTACTTTGTTTGTGACCTTGAAGTGTCTTATCCTCTTATTTCTTATCTTTGATACCTTTTTATTGTTTTCAATTATATCAGCTTCTTATGTTTGTCATAGAATCCAGTTATTTGTCTAGGGTGAGGGATTCGATAAAGGTGCCGATGAGAGTGAATGGGTAGTTAGTCGTGAACGACAAGATGCAGACTCTACATTTTCTAGTCTCGGTCCCATTAACGGGTACATTAGTGGTGGGTGAAGAAGATTCATTTTTATTAATAATTTGGGTATTTGTTCTCGTTAAAGTTCGCCCGAGCAAATTTGTCTTAGCCATCCCTTACTTTTTGAGGTCTTGTTTAGGTCGTGTGGCAAAAGAACACATGGTTAAATCAAAGCTTCCAAACTCTGTGCTTGGAAAAATTTGGAAATTGGCAGATGTTGACCGAGATGGACAGTTGGATGCAGACGAATTTGCCCTCGCTAATTATCTGATCAACCTTAAACTTGAAGGTTTGCGATTGTTTTTGAAAACTTAACCATTTCGACCCCTGTTCCTTATTAGCGTTTCGTCCCCATTTTCCTCTTTAGCAATCTCTTAGTGCTCTTGTTCATTTTAGGTCACGAACTACCTGTCGAGTTGCCTAAACATTTGATTCCGCCATCAAAACGAGATATGGAGACTGTTTACCCAAAGCTGGACGATGAATAGGAGGGTGGAGCGCTTGTCAAGACCTAATGTATTCGTCATTCGCATGGTATTTGAAGTTCATATATCATTGTATGAATGGAAAACTAATTCACTTCTATCTTCGCATGTAGATACTTTCATAATTTGGTACTGAATAAAATTTAACTGAGGTACATTACTTTATAGTCTGCTATGGAGTCGTCTAATACAGTTTCTTGTTAGGTCGATTTGCTTCTTCACCGTCTGTTAGCTGTAGGGTCTTGTATTGCCTTTTGCCAACTCTTTGTAGGATTACTCATTCCAGGTGTTTAGACTTCCTACACTTCTTTAATGGAGAACTCTTGTCATCATCCTAAATTTCTTCTGTTATATTATGAAGTAAAAAAATGAAATGAAATTCTAGTTTTCGTAAAATTCTGCGGTATCTATATTTTCCTTGTCGCAGTTGATTGTGATATTATCATATTTTTGTTCGATTTGTCCCAAAGATGCATCCATCATATGTTCCTCGTTTGCAATCTTTTTCCGAAAATTTCTACAGCTGGATATTTATAAGAAAATAAAGGCTCATAGGTCAGCGTAATTACTCAAAGTCAGGTGAGGTGGTGGATGTTTAGTACACTGGGAAACATAAGACCATTCCTTACGTACTTGGACGTGCGGCCCCAGCAAAATTTCCATTTTTGCGGAGTTTCGGTGGTTTAACCATTGTGGCTTCCTGGAGTCCCGTGGACAACCTGGTCAAGGTCTGTGCAGATCATCACTACCATAGGCGGTCGCCGCCTTTGTGGATTAGAGGGAGATGTACCACCTTGTGACTAGTTTGATACCAAGACGGTGGTGGATTGTGGATTGGTTTACTCCTAGCGGAGCTTCCTGATGAGAACGCCGGAGTCCTCAGCTTGGGAGACCCAGCACAGGGGATGAATCCCTCCGCTGTACATCGCAGTATCTCAGCAAAGATCTTCGTAGATACAATGGAGCTAGATGGAAAAATAGTCGCGATGGCTGCACCTTTTTCTCTGTCGTTGAAGTTTTCTACAACTGCATTAATAGGAGTTGTAATTACCGATAGCTTCGTTCAACGAATCGTCTTCCTTAGTAGGACGATTTGACGGTTGAGGTTTAATTTCAAGCTTATTTGGTGCGGAAGTTCGCTATGTAAAATGACTAGGTGGGATGAGTTGGTCACGTGTGTATAACAAAGCATATTTGAAAACGTTACATCATTTAGTTGATTGTATTGCTTTTGGTCTCCTGTTGAACAACCACATGGAGTTTGACCTGTGTTTCCTTGGATGTATGAGGGTTGGATCTCACGAAAATGAATCTTGAAAGGTTGGTCGTAATTGCACGGTCTCACTAAGAACAGTACTCTTGAAGTCCAAGTAGATCTTATATTTCGAAGGTATTTCGCAAATTATAACTGTTCATGGGTGTGTGTAACACAGTGGTCGGAGGCGCCCTGCAATACACATTGGATCGATCCCACTGCCCAAAGTTCACCAAGCCTTCCATCCGAACGCGGTCGGCAAATTGGTACCATACTTGTCTGGGAGGATAGCAGAACTGGCTCGACGCATCGGTAAACCACCGCAAGTCATTGTAAAGTTTAGAATTGTATCCATTCGTCTCCAAACGATGCTTAATGAAGTCGTATGCATGGCACATCCCTCGTGGATTGATCAACGCCGAGAGCTTTATTTTTTATCCTTTACAATTATACCACTGAAAATACCTACCGTGTTTATTCGGCGAGCGTATCGGACTGTACAGTTTAGTGGTGCAAAGGTCTACGAAATATATGGAGTTCAGCAAAAATCTGAAAGTTGATGCTTTCGCCTAGTTTTCGTAGCGGTTTCCATGCACGGGTCATGAATGTGAACATGCTAACCTATTATTATGAAGCAAGTTTGTGTTTTTCTTCAGTTGACCGTGTTGAGTGTCTAGGAAAGCCTGAAATAATCGAGTCCTCTTTTATAAATTGGTAGGTGCCTAGTGACCTTCAAATGAATATTCCGGGTTGAGTGATGGTGGGAAGAAATTCTCTACATTCTTTTATCCTACTTCGAGAAATTCTTCGGTATCGCTGCGCAAACCATACTTTTTCCTACAACCGGTCTTTCGTTAAAGCAAACATTTCTTTACGTGGATGGCTGCGTAAGGAACTGCGTGTGCACCAGAACTAGCAATGCGCCGGTTTGCGGTCTTCAACATATTGGCGTCGATAAGGAATTTTCTTCACATCTGTAGATAATTTTGGATATCTAGACTAACTAACGGTTTGAGAACTTGAGAAACTTTTGGGAAACACCTCGACCTATCGATCTAGTGGTGTGCATAGTCGTAAAACTCCGGACCGCAGGTGTCTGCGGTGGGGAATGAACGCGTTATTACCCTTTCCGAGGCTACCGCGTTCACCACCACACCATGCGAGTTTCGTTTTTCTATCAGCCGTGTTGTTAACCTAATAATTCACGTAATACTTTGCCATTAACAAAGAGTAGGCAGTAAATAGAAATCGACGACGGTCTGCTTTTTTTAGAATAATATTTTTTGCGTCAGACTAAATGAAGCTTTAAACACTACTTACACAAAAAATTCAAAATTTTAACGTAAGCGCAACAACGTCAGCGATGAATTCTGGGATTCTTTCAATTCCTGTAAGTAGAAGCTTGTTCAGCCGTCACGATGCTTAAAATACGGGCATCGATGAAAGGAAAAGGAAGCGATCTGGAATAATGTCTTGATAAGGTAAGAAAAGTTGCATCTCGCTGGCAAAGATTTGTAAATTTTTGTATTTTTTGTTTCAACTAGTAAAGTTCTTTGTGAGATGACATTTGCTAATCTAAGGTTCGAAGGCGAAGTCATTTTCGCCCACGTGTTCTTGGGATCAGCACATGTGGTTGTGAATGTATTGATGTATGGTAACTTAGCTTTGCTGAATTTTCAATGCCTTTCGCTGTTAAAGGATAAAAGGATAAAGCTCTCACCGTTGATCAGTCCATGAGAGATGCCCCACGCATTCGACTTCATTAAACATTGTTGGAGATTATTGAGTGCATATCTGTACAATAACTCGCGTGGCCTACCGATATATGGAGTCAGTGCTGCTATCCTCCCAGACAAGGCTGGTACCAATTTGCTGACCCTGTAGGGATGAAGACCTTGGCGGACCCTGGGCGCGGGATCGATCCCATGTGTATTTCTTGAACAGGCCTCCGACCACTACGCCAAACGCGCCCCTTTTTCGCTGTTAAAGTGCGCTGATTGAGATGTTGAGTAATGTCAAAGACCTCTCTATCACACTTTCCGAATATGATCTTTTAGCCTGTGCAGTGCTAGCTCGGTAGCAACGTATGTCTTCGTTCTTAAGAATTTGAGGACCATCATACTTTCTGGGTGGAAACTATGTCATAGAAGCTTTTGGATAATTTCTTTGTTCAATTCATATTCAATTAGGTGATGAAAACCATCACTATGCCAAACCCTATCACTCAGAAAGAGTTAGGCTTTTGAAAACTCCGAAGAAACGATAAGGAGCAGGAAAGTCAGTTGCTTTGGAAAATTTACTACAGCAATATTACTTTATTTACAGGCTGATACACTTTACACTAGCTTTCTCCTATAAAAGCGACGCATATAAGGTAATCGCGAAGAATTTTAACTCTTCTTATTTCAAATTTTATCTTTATCTTATCTTCTTTTGTTGTTTGGTTGCTTTGAGTCACGCGGAGTTCGAACTCTTACGGCGACAGCTCTGCTTTTCTGCCGACTGTTCGTCGACAAAGGCTTGTTTACTCTCTCGTCGACTACATCGATCATAAGAAAAACTCCATAAACAATTGACATTTTCCCACTGTTCCTTGGGAAATGGGTGTGTGTAGCGAAGTGGATAGAGGCGTCTTGTAATACACATGGGATCAATCTCCGTGCTGCATGTTCATTAAGCATTCCATCCCTCCGCGGTCGGGAAATTGGTACAAGACTTGTCTGGGAGGATAGCAGCACTGAGTACATCGGTAGCCCACCGTGAGTCATTCTAAAAGCCAGATTTGCAATAGGTCACCTCTTACGGTACCTGATGAAATCGAATGCATGACGCATCCCTCAGGGATTGATCGACGACGAGAATTTATCCTTTATTTATTATCCTTGGGAAATCGTACAACACGTTACTTTGATGTTGGGAACTAATACACAGAAGCTTAACTTGTTCAAATGTTCCCTACCCTATTATCTACGCAAACTATTGGATATGGCCTTTTTAAACTTCTCCGCTAATGACCAAGACTGATGACGCTGAACGACACAGGTGTGACACATAACGGCCTGCACCTAATTTTATGTGGCTGCTGCATGGAATTACGTCTACTTTTAAGTCATTTACGAACTTAGTACACGTCACATTCACGGACTTTTGTTAGCCGACAGTGTACGATGTTGATTCTTTGATAAAGGGTGAGGAAGGCATCTTTGATCAATTCCTTAAGTATCCGTCATCCGTTTGACTCAATTTGGTATCGTAGAGATGATTGAATGCATGTTCCGGAGCTATAAAGTGACTTTCGTGGGCATGTATCAAGTCGTCGATTTTATCCTCCTAGACAGGTTAGCTACTGTTCTGATGGTACTCGAGAGGTGGAGGGTTTGGCTTGACCGGGGTGTGGGGTCGAACAAACGATCAGAATTGTATATTATATAATGCTGAGATATTTGCAAAACTCCGGACCGCAGGTGTATGCGGTGGGGAACGAGCGCGCGCTATTGTCCTTTCCGGAGAGTAGCGCACTTCACCACCACACCATCCGGGTCCTTCGTTTTGCCTGTCTCTCAGCTAGTTTTATTAATCTTTTGCAACAGACAGGCAAAACGAAGGACACGGATGGTGTGGTGGTGAAGTGCGCTACTCCCCGGTGAGGACAATAGCGCGCGTTCGTTCCCCACCGCATACACCTGCGGTTCGGAGTTTTGCAAATATCTCAGCATTATATACGAATAAATATAGTAACAAATAACAAGCAATGATAACAAGTAACATGCTCAAG